TGGGCAATACAGGTTTTTTTTTTTGTTTTTTTTTTTTATCTGCTCTATTGTTATAAACATAAGGGGGAAAGGGGTGTGGCTTTTGTTGAGGTCCAGTGTGCATCAAATGTAATTGTTAACGATGAAGCCAGATTTACATGTTACGTGAGGGATGGTAGACATGACCATTTGAGAGCTAAACACTCGGTGTGGTCCTTATTTATTCAAATCTATCATAAGTCTTTATTTAGTGTATAGTATCTGGGCACAAGAAAGAAAGAATATCAATAATTAGAGGGGTCTGAAACTGATTGGTCTTTCATAAGCAACACGCTTCTGTCCCCTTTGTGCAAAAATAAGAATAATCTGTACCTATTGATGACAGATAAACATAAAAAGGTATTGATTCATTTGTGTATATTTGTGATAAAATAGTAGTTTACTTTTAAAGTTGTACAATAAAATAAGTGAAATAGCTTGACATATGTTTAGCTACTCTGCACCACCTGAATTTATTGTGGATGCCATGTCATGGATCTTGCTGTTGTAGTTTATTACTGTGTATACCATTTTACCATAGCTTTGAATCCCTATTTTTATATTTTTCTATGAAATAACCAGTCATTTTATTATACAAACCATGGTTGTTAATTTATCATTGCATTCGGGGTTCCTTTTTTATTTTTGCTTTAAATAAATGTGACATATTGAGAGTGATCACAGTGAACAGGCACACTTAATTTTGTGTATATTTTGTTGGCTTTCAGGAAGTTCAAACATCTACTTTGATATTTATCGCCACTGCATAATGCATGTCCTGTTAATTGGGTATCCTTTTATCTTTGGCTTTGAAAAGTACATTGTGGTCCCATTGTTGCTATAGATACAGATTTCTCTTTACGCTTTGGCATATTTTGTATGTAGCAGCCAGAAAACACAGTACTGCTTTTATCACTTCTTCATGAAAAATGTGCTATGGAGATAGTTTAAATAGTGATTACCTAACTGCAATATGGTGCATGCAACACAATAGTTAGGTAACAGTTGTGATTTGAAACTAGTAAAATGTATTCTTTGTTAACTAATCATAAATAACAGCAAGACTCTGCAAAGCACTATTGATGGATTTGTGTACTCCAACCAGGGGCGGACTGACAACTCATGGGGCCCCCAGGCAATAGGGGATCATGGGGCCCGTGTCCTTGCCCAAACTCAAAAAAGTCTATGAAAAAAGGTACCAGGGGCATCTCATGGGGCCCCCTACTGACCCCCGGCAGTGCTCGAGTTTCCAAATGGTCAGTCCGCCCCTGACTCCAACCATAGGTCAACCATAAAAAAAAAAAAAAAAAAAATGCAAGCAACAAGTTTGAATATGCTTGTTCTGGCTATGCCTTTGTGGGTTTCCTCTGGGTACTCCGGTGTCCTCCCACACTCCAAAGACGTGCTGGTAGGTTAATTGGCTTCTGTCTAAATTGGCCCCAGTAGGTGTATGAATGAATGTGGGTTAGGCACCTTAGATTGTAAGCTCTTTGAGGGCAGGGACTGATGTGAATGTACAATATATACACTATATTGCCAAAAGTATTGGGATGTCTGCATTTACACGCACAGGAACTTTAATGGCATCCCAGTCTTAGTCCGTGGGGTTCAATATTGAGTTGACCTACCCTTTGCAGCTATAATAGCTTCACCTCTTCTGGGAAGGCTGTCTACAATGTTTAGGAGTGTGTCTATGGGAATGTTTGACCATTCTTCCAGAAATGCATTTGTGAGGTCAGGCACTGATGTTGGATGAGAAGGCCTGGCTCGAAGTCCCTGCTCTAATTCAACCCAAAGGTGTTCTGTCAGGTTGATCCCAGGACTGTGCAGGCCAGTCAAGTTCCTCCAGCTGAAACTCACTCATCCGTGTCTTTATGGACTTTGCTTTGTGCACTGGTGCGCAGTTATGTTGGAACAGAAAGGGGCCATCCCCAAACTGTTCCCACAAAGTTGAGACCATGAAATCGTCCAAAATATGTTGGTATGCTGACGCCTTAAGAATTCCCTTCACTGGAACTAAGGGCCAAGCCCAACCCCTTAAAAACAAGCCCACACCATAATCGTATGTGGCCTACCACTTCATGGCTAAGTTGCTGTTGTTCCCAGTTTCTCCCACTTTGTTACAATACCACTAACAGTTGACCGTGGAATATTTAGTAGCAAGAAATGGATGGACTTATTGCACAGTTGGCAAACTATCACAGTACCATGCTTGAATTCACTGAGCTCATGAGAACGACCCATTCTTTCACAAATGTTTATAGAAGCAGTCTGCATGCCTAGGCACTTGATTTTATACACCTGTGGCCATGGAGGTGATTGGAAAACCTAAATCCAATGATTTGGAGGTGTCTCCCAATACTTTTGGCTACATAGTGTATGTAAAGCGCTGCATAAAATTGATGGTGCTATATAAGTACCTGTAATAAATAAGTTTGAAGGCACAGTATCCAACCAGCGATGCAGAAAGAGAATCTTAGGGTGATTTTCAACCACTGCATAGGGACCATTTTTTTCAAAGGTTTTCTATGTCTGATGGTGCCCAAAAGCCACCAGAATCTCCCTCACAATGAACCATCTCTTGTACCCAGGGAAACAAAAGTGACAAAATGCAGGAAGGGAATAAGAGTTATTGGAATAATGGACAGCAAGGAAGACTATAATAAACATGATTCCAAGGTATGATATAAGGTACCTCAGAATGTACAGAGAACAGAGTAACATACTGTACAATTCGACAGGAACAAGCCAAGAGACACTAAAGAAAGCTGGTGGCAAAAAGGTCAGACTAACAATATGCAGTGCTGAAATAAGGAAGCACAAGGCACATTAAATATCTGAGACAAGTGCACAAAACAGGAACATGGCAATATGAAGAAGCAAATGATCATAGAGGCAAAGTTAATGCAGCAGAAATCATCAGATGTAACTTATATAGAATAATCCCTAAGGAGATCTCTGGCTGAAAAGATTTAACATGGGCAGGACACCCATATGAGATATGACAGACATCCAAGAGGTACAGTACAAATCCATAGACAGGTTTTCCATTTTCTGGAGTAGGCCCATAGCAAAGCGAACAAAGTGTCAGATCTGGAAGGACCTAGGAGCCCATAAAACTGTCAGATGTAGCTTTCTGCAAAGCCTCAAATGTTGTAAGGATATACCAAGACCTCTGGCCTCAAAACATCTTAAGTATGAGGATATCCTGGGACTTGAAATTCCATAATAACATGAAGTTATTTTTTATTGAGTACTCTGCATGCATAGAAATACAACACATAAGTTAGGAAAACTTGTGTGCAAGTCATCTACTGACTATGTAAGTTAAAGCAAAAGCCTGTGCGTTTGCTTAGCTTCTAGGAAAAGGCTGCATATAGCCAGATATTAATTTTGGTAAATGCACGCAAGCTTGTTAAACATACATTGTGTAAGCTGATCAAACAAACTATTAACACATGCTTATGCATGTAAAAGCACATAAACCGAAAGCGGTAGTAAATCCAAAATCAAAAATGTAATATATTGCAGGTTAAAACAGAACAATACTTCATCTGAGCACCACAAACCAAAAATGCTATTAAAAAGGTGAAGTTCCGCTTTAACAACTTGTTCCCCACCCCCCATTAGGTATTGGCACCTTTGGGGAGCAGGGGGGAGCGGGTACCCATTTTGACAGGTATCTGCTCCCACTTTTCCTCCAACCGCCTAGGCGATTAAAAGCAGAAGTTCTCCTCCCCCCCCCCCCCCCGCAGTCTTCTGGGACACGTGACAAGTCCCAAAAGACTGCTGGACCATTCACCATGCACAGTGCTACTCGCATATGCGCAGTGGGCATCCGGCTGTGACAGCTTGCATCTTCACAGTCGGGTGCCCACACCCAAGATGCTGGGGACAGAGGACGGCCAGAAAACCCGGCTGTGGTGAGCACACCGCTGGATCGATGGACAGATAAGTGGCTGTTTTTTTTTAAAAGTCAGCAGCTACAGTTTTTTGTAGCTGCTGACTCTTATATTTTTCACCAGAGACTGGAGCTCCACTTTATAATCATTTTTAATGTTCAAAGCAAACTCTCCCATCCAACCATGTCTCCATGCCTTATTTTGCTGAGATCACTTTGAAAAACATCCTCTAGCATTTCTGGCCATGGCCATCTTGAGTAAGACAGATGATTTACTTCCTGGAATCCATCTGCCCTTAGCTCAGGCATGCAGGGAGGAGGGTGTGTTTAACTGAGAAAACCCCTCCTGAAGACTCCTGGGATGGATGACATCATTTGCATAAGCTCTAGGCATGGAAACCAGGAAGTAACTGAAGAAGAAAAAAGAAGTTTAAAACAAGTAAATATGATTGACTTTCCTATCTATTTATTAACGCTAGCAGAATAGGAATTCATAATAGTCTGTTGACTGGGAGAGTGAAGTTCCTCTTCAACAAGCAGCGTATGTGGTGGCTGCATCCGGTTTTTTTTTTTTTTTTAGGCCTTTTTCCATCTGATTTCACCTGGTGATCTGGCCAGTAACACACCTCCTGGATTTGAGTGCCTTCACTCTGGATGAATGGGCATAGGAGCACCTTTGGACAGCAGCATTGAGTGTTAGATGGAAAAGCAGATTTAGATACACTAAACAAATTGAAGTAAAAAAACAGCTAACACTTTATAATATGTTCTAAAAACGTTTTTTTTTTTTTTCCCTTTTGGAATAAAGGTTTTACATGAATAAATAAAAACTGATCATTGTATGAACTCCTGTCAGTAAAATAAGAGAAGGGGGTTGGGGGGGGGGGATATAACTAATGCAGCCACCACCTCTAAGAATTGGTAAGCTGTAAAAACAATAAATGTTTGCTGTTGGGTTTAATACCACTTGAACTCCAAAAACACACTTCTATGAGTATGCTTCTACATAATGAATAAAATCAATCACGCGTGAATGAAATCCTGTTTTTAAATACCTTGTTTGTTTTATACTTTCTTACAGGGTGGAGCACAAATAAGCCTGGCTAATGTTTGTAGAGCTGGTGAGAAAGAAGTATATTGCTACAACCTATTACGTTATCAATACCCAAAGAAGCAAAAGCACAGTAATAAGCAAGAACCAAGGAGTTCTGAAGCAAACCCTGATGGAAATTCTGTAAGAAATGTTATATTTATAAACAATAATAAGTTGGGTAGCTGGAATTCAAAAGGCCAACATTTTAAGAAACTATTATAGAACAGAAATTAGGAGGGAGGCAAGCGCAAATCTTTAATAAGGCTGTAAAAAGCACAGTGGTGATTTAGATCACTTAAAACTATGTAGATGTCTTTTTTAAATAGTTTAGATTAAATGTGTTGATGAAGGGAAAATACGGATTTGTTTTTATGGATGAAAGGCTGACATACAGTATATACTTTATATGTCAGCCATTAATCCATAATGGCAAATCAGTATTGATTTGAGCAAGAACTAAGGTGGGTTTTATTTACATCCATATACTTTATGTAATATAAATAAAACCTCTTAGGTCCTGCTCATACATGGTGAAAATGGCTGGCAAGCTAAGATGCTTCCATTGATATCCTTGTCAGATCGTCAGATGTGCACCACACTCTATACTTTTCCATCAAAGTGCATTTGAGAGCTGTGAATGATTTCTGACATTGATGTGCATTATGTCAGATATGGCTCTAGTATGGTAACACTTCATATTAAATGTAGCTAATGCCTGCATTTGTAAATATAAGCCCCTACCAAAATTAACTGCAGCGCAGTCAATATGATATAAATATGTGATCATTTTATTCTCTGTAGGACTTGGTGTGTTCACTTTTAGAACATTCTGCTGCTAAAGTAGAAAGCGTTGAGCAGCAGCAGGAAGACGCCAGACAAGATGATGACAGGGATGCCCACTGGTAAGTGAATCAATCAGTGTTTTCTCGAATGCATTCCCATTAATATGAACTTCAAATATATTAAACATACAGTTAAAAGTATGAAAAATAGGAGCTTGTTAGATTTTTTTTTTTTCTGCGGTTTTACTCTAAATCTAATTACAGTAATTGAGTAATTGCAGAGACCTCTATATAATGTTTTGGGTGTCAGAAAGATGTTATAAAAGCTCTCTCCAATCCTACCAACTCCTACAGCACTGTCTAGAAGGGTGCGTGAGAAATCCTGCTTCCTAGCTGCATTTACCATTTAAACAGATTTTTCTCCACATGAATTAACAGTTGGGTTATGCTCTAAAAAAAATTCACTTGCATCAAACTTCATGTGGTTGTTTATGCGATATTTTTTTTCTATAGTGTTATGATACGGATGTTTTTGATACTGATACTGATGTACTGGCTTTCCCTGCTGCTAGGGGAGTTTGGATTGGCAGTACTATTGAAGACAGCAGTATGGGAGAGCTTTCCTTGGTTGAAAACAAGGTGGGTGGATGGGGAGTTAAATTTGGTTGGCTATGCTTATAGGCATATTGCCAAAAAGCCTGTTTTACCTGTACCCTCTGCTCAATGTAATTCTTCAGAATGATGAGTTAGATGAGACACTTTGAGCAGGAGCAATGTCAGTCCCATCTCCATGGAGAATCCATCTGAACATAGTATCTTTCTCTTTATGGCATGATATTTTATGCTCAGTGATTCCTCAGTAATAGATTTGGAGGCTGTACCTGGACTCTGCTGGACTATACATACAAGGCTAGCCTGGAATGTGATCTTCAGGCACTGGGCTGTACAATGTGGCAGTTTCAAGACCTTAGTGTAATATGTTAGTTGCCCGGAGTGCTTTCCAGGTCAGGTCCAGAGCCATGGCGCAGTCCCAGTTGCGACCCTGTCTCTGAAGACTCAGTAGGGCTGGTTGGGCTTTCCACCTACACTGACTTGGTGCCCCTGGCTGCCTGAAACCTTCCTCAGCACCAGTTGCCCAAGTTTGTGAGTATTTGAGCCTAGTTGCCTTTCACTACATGGTTCAACATGTCTTCCCAAAAGCAGGAAGGAAAATAATAGTGCCAAAGATGACCTCAATCCATACACCACCAGTGGTTCTTGGGTACAGAATCAAGTAATCTTAATCTGCATGCAATGCTGTGGTGTGAGCTGACACCATTGGAAAGAAGGCATTTTACCTTGCCTGTGCATTGGGCTGTACTGGAAATAGCTAACATCAGGTGTGAATGGGCCCATAGGTGTTGTAAGACTGTTGATGAGATCAGTGACCTGGTCCTATGCTGCATGATCTTGAGAGTGCTTCTCTCAACTGCATAGTCTCCCTTAGACATGATGCATTATCGTCTGACTCTCAAATGGAAATCTCTTCACTGGTAGGAGAGAGGTTTGCACTTGGGCAGAGACCATACCTAAAGGACATTGTGTTCCCCTGGATTGTCAGAAGACAGCACACACTGGAGTCCTGCTGCTGGTACTCCCTGTTTGGTATAGAGTAAGTCCAGAGGCCTTTGTAGGACCAGATCACCTGGAGTTAGGTTGTCCTTCAGTGGTGGATCTGCAGAATTTTGATCAAAGTTCTTTATGTCCTTTCCATGGTTCTGTTCTTAGTGGTTTTGTTTTGTTTCTGCCTCTCACCCCATGGCTGTGGATGCTTCTCTGGAAAAGTGAGCATTGGATGACTCTAGATCCAGTGCCGCCTGTCAAACACTGCAACCCGTGTTAAAAATGCTGTGGCTGCAGCACTTGTACAGTCCTGTCAGGCTTATAATGTTAGAATTCAGGTGGGTGGCCAAGGGTGGTAAAACTGTGGTTCTGCTGTCTATGTTCCTACGTTCCTTGTCTAACATTTTTCCTTTTTTTAATGCAAAAATGCTTTCTTGAATTTGTTTACTCCTTAATATCACCATTAACATTTTTTAATATGTATTTAAAATTGTTGGCACCTAACAGGTAGATTTGTCTATATGACTTTCACCACTGATTACTGGACATGTTGCAGGATTGAAGAACAGGATGTTGCTCAGGATGAAGAACCTACTACGGATAATGAAGAAGAAAATGAATGTGATGAGAATGAACAGAGTGACACAGAAGACCCTAATAGCCCTGAACAGCTGAGCATGGAATGTGCTGGCATTAAGGTAAACACACGTGCAGTGGAACATCAAGCCGATTGCTTTGGGCTTGGCCAGTACATCAATGTTAAATAATTTTTTGTGCACAGTATATGGTAATGTAGGGAGTGTCCCTTTATGTGTGAAGCAACAGAAAGGTTCTCATTCCTACTTGTCCTGGGAAAACAATGGTATGGATTCAGAATACATTTTTATCATGTTACATTTCTTACAATGTAGCAGGTAAATGGAGTGCTAGGTGTAGACAAAGGACAAAAGATCAAATATTTGTAAGCTCTCATGTGTATGTAAAGGCAAAACGTTTTATTTTATTTTGGCTAGAGCAGAGAAGAGTTGAATTTTCTGCCAAGTTATTGCAGTCTGTGTCCCTTCAGGGGAGATTCACCCTGTATATTTCCTGGTGACCATTGTCACCAAGTCAGAAAGTAGGTGGAAATACTAACTTTTAGAGAAGCCATGAGAGTAAGAAATGAGAAGACAAATGTTCTGCTGACAACCAGAACAGCTTGGAGATATTTCCTCTCACTTCCTGGTGTGCCTCCAAGACCAAAAGTAAAGAGAATTCTTACCAGCAGGACAGACTAAAGAAAATAGCCTTATGGGGGGCTTTAACCCTACCCTACTCAATCAAAAAACAAACAAGAAAGTTTTAGCTATACATACACTTTAATCACATTTGAGGATTTTTTTTTACATTTTATGACAGTCTTTATTGTTTTTTTCTTTCAAAGGCTAAAACATGTCCTCTATTCTAAAAAAAAAAAACCTTTTGATGAATGCTGCAGAATTGATTGATACTGAAATTCGTATTTAGAATGGTTTCCCATCTGCAAATGTAACTAAATATCACAAAGGGACTTATACTTATGAACTAATTTTAGGATTTGTAAGAGCATGGTGAAATATTGGGAGCCTATTCATGAATAAAAAAAAATTATACCTGTACAAGTTTACTAAATTTTATGTTTAATTACTTGAAAGTACTTTATGTACATTTTATTCTGTATTTATAAAGCAGCAAAAATTTAAATTGCAAAGCCTACAGTATAAAAGAAAAAATAAACACAGTGGCTTGGTGCCAAGAGGGTCAATCTGAAGTGCTGTTATTATTCAAAAATGGAAACCAGGTGAATTATACAAATAGTATAGAAACTAACAAAAAAAGGTTTGGTTGAAGTTCCACTTGAAATCAGGGACATGTGGAGGAAAATTCTTTGCTCACACATTATCAGTCTGGAATGGCTTTTCTGTAATCTAATTATGTTGTATAGGTCCTAAATACTGTATGTGCAGTAGTTCTGCCTCAGTTGCTGCATAATTTACTACATTTGTTTTCTGTGGTAGGTGGACAAGGAGACAAATACTGAAAGGATTCTTCAGTCAGCCACTGTTGTGCGGCCAAAAGAAAAAAAAGCATCAAATACTATGCAAGCACAATTTATCAGAGGCAATACCATAATCCGCTCCAAAACCTTTTCTCCTGGGCCTCAAAATGAATACATTTGCCGAGTAAGAAGTTATATGTTTAAAGTATATGTGAACCCTCACCTTGTACAACAACCCATTCAGTTTAAATACATGAGAAAGGCATGTCAGCAGGAGGCATAGAAACAGCAGTACACTGATCGTACAGGTGAAGATGTGGGCAGGTGGGGCGTGTCAGCACAATTCTGACCATTGAAAGACAGGCAGATTGTGCTCCCAGAACAGCTAGGAAACTGACCACACTAGGAAGGATGTGTGTTTATGCCTATCGTAGTCTGTTTGAAGTAGGAAAGCAGGGGGACTGGCAGGATCACCAGGTATTTTACACAAAGGAAGACTTATAAAGAGAACAGGACACTTTAACATAAGTACATGGTACAACATACACATAGTAATAACACAAAATGTTGGGTAACATACACTATAAGATCTAGTGAAAATCCAGCATGTTTACGAACATCTTGTTTCAGTGTTTGCTTGCTAGGAATATGGAAATCTCCTATTTGATGCCTCTCTTGGTAGCAGTATGAAAGGGCTTATGCCTAGATTACTACAGTAAGCAAAAGCAGACCCCAGATCTGCTGTTGCTTTCATTACCTGGCAGAGTTTAGTCTTACTAGTGAAATAAAAAGTATGTCAACACTGAAATTATTATACAGGATTTATATAGCGCCGACAGTTTGCTCAGCACTTTACATTAAGGTGGGAGACAATACACGAGGCAGTACAGTAACAATACGATTCAATACACGAGGGGTTCGAGGGCCCTGCTCCTTGGAGCTTACAATCTAGGAGGGAGGGGATAGTGGAATAGGAGGAAATAGCTGTGGGGGATGAAGTGGTAGGAAGAGTGGCTGAGTTCAGTAATTAGCTGAGGGCGGGGTAGGCTTCCCTGAATAGTTAGGTTTTTTAGAGTGCGCCTAAAGGTGAGCAGAGTAGGTGATAGTCTGATGGATTGGGGTAGGGAGCTCCAGAGGATGGGGTAAGCCCTGGAGAAGTCCTGGAGACAAGCATGGGAGGAGGAGACCAGGGAGCTTGAGAGTAGGAGGTCTTGTGAGGAGCGGAGAGTACGTTTTGGTGGTATTTGGAGACAAGATCGGTGATGTAGTTTGGGGCAGTATTATGAACAGCTTTGTACGTCAGTGTTAGCGTTTTGAATTTTATCCGTTGGGCAATCGGAAGCCAGTGGAGGGATTGGCAGAGGGGGGTGGCAGATACAGAGCGGTTAGTAAGGTGGATGGGTCTGACCGCAGCATTCAAGATGGACTGAAGTGGAGATAGCCTGTGGTGAGGTAAGCCGGTGAGAAGGGAGTTACAATAGTCAAGTCGTGATATAATAAGGGAGTGGATGAGTTGCTTAGTGGTTTCCGGGGTTAGGAACGGTTGTATTTTGGAGATGTTGCGGAGGTGAAGTCTACATGAGTTTGTCAGCGATTGGGGCTGGAAGGACAGATTGGAGTCTAGGATGACACCTAGAACTCTGGCTTGAGGGGTGGGACTGATGGTGGTAGTGTTGTTGGTCTTGATGAAGAAGTCGGGGGGGGGGGGGGGGGGGGCGCGGGCTGGGGGAAAAACTAGGAGCTCAGTTTTGGAGAGATTTAGTTTGCGGAAGTGGAGTGACATCCAGTCTGATATGTCGCTCAGTAGGCTTGTGATACGGGCGGAGACTGAAGGGGTGAGGTGAAGGGTAGAGAGATAGATTTGTGTGTCGTCAGCATAGAGATGGTAGTTGAAGCCGTGAGAGTGTATCAATTGGCCAAGGGAGGAGGTGTAGATGGAGAAGAGGAAGGGTCCGAGTACAGATCCTTGAAGGACCCCAACCGAGAGGGGGAGTGAAGAGGAGGTGGCAGCGTTATAGGTAATGAATGAAATGAATTTTATGGCTGTGACATACTTGGTTTCACCATAAGGTGGCAATGCAAATTAAATCTGTAACTGTATATGTCTCAAGAAAACCAGAACATTGCAGCAGATGCATTCTCCATGTTACTATGTTGCTATGTTGTGAGGTTTCAAAACACTAGGGGATTTCACTTTAATTCACAAATTATTTTTAACACAGAAGGCACATTTCACAACAGGAGTATTCAAGGAACTATTTTTGTATTCTACTACACATGCAAAACTGTTTCATGCTTTCTGCTGCAGATCATAAGCTAGAGGTAATACCTGCATGTAGCACGGATTTATGGATATATCCAACTTCATAACCTGCTTATCAAACCTCTAAATGATTGTACCACTTTCCCTCTATAAAGCTGTTTTTTTTTGCGGTCTGCATTACTAACTGCAGAAATTTTCCTATTAGAGAAGGTGTAGAGAGCCATACACAAAGTTCACTGTAGCCAAAAATGCCTATCCCACCCCTTGCCCTTAGTTTTTATTGAAACCTAGGAGCAGCAGTCCCTGTGTCCTTCTCTGTTCTGCTAAGCGCAGTGCAGAGCATGTCGGTATGACTGTCCTGTTTGAGACCTTTTGAACTTCACTTGGCAGAACTGCCAAGTGAAGTCCAGTGAAGACTCAGCTCAGAGGGCTTGTAAAGAAGCCATCTACATCAGCCTTTGCATAGATTCTTTGGCTGCTGATCTCAAGCCCACCTTGACCTACAGTACCAACAACCATCTACAATTTTGCTTTGATTATGATGGTCTTTGACTGCTTCCCAAGAAACTGCCTTAATATGTGAAATCAATATGTGTTGATACCCTACAAAAAGCAATATTAAAAAGCTTGAATGAGTGAAAACAGAACCTGGAAAAAAGATGGGAAATTTGCCACTGGGAGTCCCCAGCTGAAATATCAATTTTGGATAAAGACCCTATAAGGATGTATAGAAGTAAATTTTGGCGGGTAACAACATGTCCATGATGATATATCTTGCAATTTCTTGTGTTGAAATTTGTTTGACTTTATTCTTCCTTGCTGTACTGTGTTTCCTTTAGCTGAATCGAAGTGACAGTGATAGTTCGACTCTTTCCAAGAAGCCACCTTTTGTGAGGAATGCAATGGAAAGACGCAGTATGAGAGTTAAAAGGGTATGTGCATTTATACAGTGCATTTCTTATAACTAATGCTCTAAAAAAGAACAAAGTCTAATGCAATTTGTAGAAAGCAGGGGTCTCCAAACTTTCTAAACAAAGGCCAGTTTACTTCCTTTAGGAGGGCTGAACTGTGGCCATCAGGAGTAGAAAATGTCTTGATGTCGGTGGGAGTAGGGTCCCTTCCTTGGTATTAAGGGGAGGAATAATGTCCCATCTTTGATGTCAGTGGAAGGATCAGTGCCACATCATTGGTGTCAGCAAGAGGAATAGTATCAAATCTTTAGTGTCATGTGGAGGACAAGTGCCCATCGTTGGTATTGGTGGGAGTGGGAAAAATAATGCCCCAACATTGGTATCAGTGGGAGGAATTGTGACCCATTGTTGGTGTCCGTGAGAGAAATAGTGCCACCTTGTTGGTGTCAGTGAAAGGAATAGTGCCACATTGTTGGTGTCAGTGGGATGAATAGTGCCTCATCATTTGGTGTCAGTGGTAGCCAGTGCCCCGTTGCCATTGTCAGGAATGATGCCCCACTGTGGCTGACAGTGGGGGGAATAATAATCCAAGGGCTGGATAAAAGCAAAGGGCTGCATCTGGCCCCTGGGCTACAATATGGAGACCACTTGTATAAAGCAACATGTGGCGAAGACACAGTCCACAGCCTCTTAGTAAACACAGTCCAGAAAATAACATTTACACTGCACTACTCAGTATGCGCCATATTTACAGCAATCTTTTCTAAGTTTTCAGTGTTATGGGTAGTTTTTACAACGCTGAATGTCAAATGTACCGTTGTGACAACAGTGTCTAAGGCTGACCATATTCTCAATTCCTTCATCCATACTAAACAGTATGGATGTGGGAATCTGCACTGCCAGCTGTTGTATTCAGACAGCCACAGTAGCTATATAACTGTATTTATACTCTAACAATAATTGCATCTGACAATTTTTCCTCCTCAGATGTTTCAGGACTTAGCTGAAATTCAAGCCATGTATGCCAGAAAAGTATTTTTATAAACTAATGCTGCTCCCACTTGTCAGTCAGAAAAGTGCGCCAGATAGAAACCAGAGGTGAAGATCAATACGATCCCACAATCAGCTGTAAGCTAAATAGGTAATTATAGTGGATACTCAGAGTGCTTACACATGGGCAAGCTAAGTACCCGAAGAACAAATTTGGTGGCGTCTTTGTAGTACCAAATATCATGGATCTTCAGATAGATCTTCATTTGATTTTTTTAATGTGTTTGTCAGTACAAGTACATGTATAATACATGACAAAGGATACCCAGATTCCTATGGGTTAAGAGAGCACGACAGAGTAGCTCTTTTGGATGACTGACAACTGGGGCCCAGCTATCTAATAAGAGCCAGTCACTTTTATGCTGACTGAGTACAGGAAAGTATGCAATGTTATGTGGCAAACTAGAGCATCACCTGCTGGCTAGATGGGCAACATCCTTTGTTGCAATTTTAGTGCTGATATTCTATAGCCTTTTTGCAGCAACTTCCTGTCCACATGCACGGACTCCAACATTACACACATGGCATTTCTTAGGGGGGGATTCTTGATGTTTCCAGTAAAGGACAATGTCCATTTATTATGTGTTGAAAACTCTCACTTGTATTTTCTGTTCCGAAGCCAAATGGCAAGAAAAAAAGAAAAAACCTAACCAGAGTTTTAATCATTTACTCTAGTCAAAAAGACAAAACATTCTAGCCTAAATACTTTGAGGTGACAACATGCACATATATCTTTAAGCCTTTAATTTGTCTAAGAGTTACATTTACCAAACAAAGAATTAGATTAGGTACTATATTCTACCATTTTTTTTCTCTTACTCATTATTTATTGTGATTCATTTGTTTTGCTGGCATTACTTTAGAATGATTTTTTCAAATCAGAAAGTGAAAGTAAAAGCATTTACCTTCTATAGAAGGCTTTTGCTTGTATCATGAGTTCCTTTACATTTAGTGGCAAACAAATTATCAGAGTAATTACGGCTATATCACTGCTGGAATAATGTCCTTCCTGCATCGCCTATTCTTTACTGACCATCTTATCATTAATGGGAATCTTTCCCCCAGGAAAATGGATAATTTCCTTTTCTAAGCCCTGTGGAACTATTAAACTTTGCCTCTTGACATAGCTTGATACAGCTCAGAATTAAAAAATCAAGGTTCTGTAGCTGTTGAGAGGATATTTAAAATTAACTTTATTGTTTCAGCCATCCTTGAAGTCCTCTGGCAGAGAACGTGTAATTCGTACATCTCTGGACCTGGAATTAGATCTGCAGGCTTCAAGGACGTGGCATAATCAGCTTATTGAAGAAATTGCTGTACTAAGAGAGCTGAAAGAACAGTTAGAGCAAGCCAAACGTCAAGGTGAAAATGAGCTGCCTCAGAGGATGAAGGATGATGAAAGCTTTAAGCTTCTGTTCAGACAAGTGGAGAAGCAAGTAAGTAACATAAACTCTTCTAATTTCTTGTGCGTTGAGGTTCTAATAGTCTGCCATAACAGCGGCTGGCACTGTTGTGAACTTTAAAGCAGTATTAAAACCCAAAATCAAAAATGTATTGTATTGCAGCATACTAATCCTTAGATGTGGTGGCTGCATTTATTTACTTTTAGTTTTTTTTTTTTTCCCCTCTGTTTTCATCTGGTGTTCTGGCCAGTAACACACCTCCTGTATTAGGGGGTCTCCATATGAATTAATGAGCACAGGGGGCACAGCAGATAGCAGCATTATCAGTCTGGGGGGGAGGGTAGTAATAAATATACTAGCAGATATAAATACACAACAAATTGAAGCCAAACATCAGTTATTACAGTTACAATTTTCTTCCTTTTAGGATAAAGATTTTACCAGTGGTAAATGTTTTGTCTCATCCTTGTAAAGTGATACATTTGCAGGAAAGCTTGTTCTATTGAAAAATAACAGACTTAATCTATGGATCACCAGAGTGGTGTACAACTTCTTAGAGGATGGACAGATGCTTCATCACATGGTCATGACACTGTAAAGCTGTTGTATTAATTTTGTTAGTAACTATCATTTTGCAATCCATGAAGTGTTAATGTGTAAAGCCGTTCAAAAGTCTATGAGCAAGGACTATCATAAAATAGCATAGAATCCATCACTGAAAAGGAACTATAATTACACAATTTATTGCAGTTTACCCAGGGGCATATGTACCGCGACGCAAACAAGGCGTTTGCTTAGGGCGGCAATTTTTAGGGGGGCGGGAACGCCCCCCGGAAGAAGGGATCTTGTGAGCAGCGGCAGACAGATCCATGCAGAGCCGCCATCAGAGGGGTACCTTTGGTACTCTTTCAGTGGCCTGGACAGCAGGAGGAGGTGAGCTGTGCTGTGTTCTGTGGGATCTCAGAGACACCGCTCTCCCGCTCTCACCGCTCCCCCAGGGCTCTGTCCTTGGACCCCTTCTCTTCTCCATCTACACCTCCTCTCTTGGCAAACTCATACACTCCCACGGCTTCAACTACCATCTCTACGCTGATGATACTCAAATCTACCTATCCACCCCTCACCTCACCCCCACATTCTCCGCCCGCATCACTCACCTCCTAAATGACATCTCTGACTGGATGTCGCTCCATTTCCTCAAGCTCAACCTCTCCAAAACCGAGCTTCTCGTCTTTCCCCCTTCCTGCGCCCCCCCCCATCCTTTCCATCACTACCAACAACACCACCATCAATCCCGCCCAGCAATCCAAGGTCCTTGGCGTCATTCTGGACTCAAACCTTTCCTTTCAACCTCACGTCAAATCACTTACAAACACATGCAGGCTCCACCTCCGGAACATCGCCAAGATACGCTCCTTCCTTACCCCAGACACCACTAAACTACTCGTACACTCCCTGATTATCTCACGCTTTGACTACTGCAACTCCCTCCTCACTGGCCTACCCCAGTGCAAACTCTCCCCGCTTCAGACCATCCTGAACTCAGCTGCCAGACTCATCCACCTCACCAGCCGCTCCACCTCTGCCACCCCCCTCTGCCTCTCCCTCCACTGGCTCCCCATTGCCCAACGCATTAAATTCAAACTGCTCACTCTGACCTATAAGGCCATTCACAACACTGCCCCTAACTACCTCACCGACCTGATTCCCAGGTACCACCCTACCCGTACCCTTCGCTCTTCACAGGACCTCCTTCTATCTTGCTCCCTGGTCTCCTCCTCCCACGCACGACTGCAAGACTTCTCCAGGTCCTCCCCCATCCTCTGGAACTCACTACCCCAATCCATCAGACTGTCACCTTCCCTCCTCACCTTCAGGCGCTCCCTGAAAACCCACCTCTTCAGGGAAGCCTACCCCACCCTCACCTAACAGCCGCTGCCCTTCCCTCCTCCTACCACTCCATCCCCCACAGCCATTTCCTCCTGTACCTCTACCCCCTCCCTCCTAGATTGTAAGCTCGAAAGAGTAGGGCCCTCTTACCCCTTGTGCGCTGTTTGATGTTACTGTACTGTTTCATGTATTGTCCCCCCCTCTATTGTACAGCGCTGAGCAAACCCTTTGGCGCTATATAAACTCGATAGATAAATAAATCTCCCTGCCTCCCTCCCTACATTGACAGATTGTATGGGGCTGCACCCCCCCCCCCCCCCCCCCCCCCCCCCCCCCCCCCCCCCCCCCCCCCCCCCCCCCCCCCCCCCCCCCCCCCCCCCCCCCCGCCCCCCCCCCCCCCCCCCCCCCCCCCCCCCCTCCCCCCCCCCCCCCCCCCCCCCCCCCCCCCCACCTCCCCCCCCCTCCCCCCTCACCCCCCCCCCCCCCCCCCCCCCCCCCCCCCCTCCTTCCTGCTTCCCGGAGATCAGCAGCCCTTGGTGCAGGTGTGTGTGTGCGCAGCCCCATACGATCTGAGAAAAGAGAGAGAGGGAAGGGACAGAGAGGGAGAAGGAAGAGCGGGGGAGGGAGAGAGGGGCGAGGGGGAAGAGAGAGAGAGCGGGGAGAGAGAGGGATGGGAGGGAAGAGAGAGAGGGAAGAGACGGGGGTGAGATAGAGAGAGAGAGTGGGGGGGGGGGGGAGAGGGGGAGATGAGAGAGAAGGAAGAGAGGAAGAGATGAGAGAGGGAGAGGGGAGAAATAGAGAGCGAGGGAGGGAGGGAAGAGGAGGGGAGAGAGAGGGAAGGGGGGAGAGAGAGGGAAGAGGGAGAGAAGAGAAAGAAAGAGAACATACATACACACACTTATTGACTCTCTCGTTCTCTCATGGGGGGGTGCAAAATTTTTGGGTTGCAGCAGAAGATCTAAATACACCACTGAGTTTACCAATCCTTACATGTGGTTGCATTAGTTTCCTTTTTACAGATTTTTTTTTCTTTATTTTCACTCAGTGATCCTGCCAGTATTGTTAGAAGGGTCAACCCTTTATGTTATTACTAATCCAGATAATTCCGTCTTTTACCACTTTAATACCGGACACTTTCACCCCCTTCCAATTTTCAGCTTTCAGTGCTGTCGCATTTTGGATGACAATTTCTCAGTCATGCAACACTGTACACATATGAATTTTTTTTTCTTCATTTTTTTTGAGACAGAGAGCGCTTTCTTTTGATGGTATTTAATCACCACTATTTTTTGTTGCTTTTTTAAGTATATATAATATATATTATTTCTTCATAAATTTAGGCCAAATTGTATTCTGCTACATTTTTGGTAAAAATAACGAAAATCCGTATAATATTTACTCTGTATGAATGTTATAGAGGCTACAGTGCATCCAGAAAGTATTCACAGTGCTTAACTTTGACCACATTTTTGTTATGTTACAGCCTTATTCCAAAATGGATTAAATTAATTTTTTTCCTCAACATTCTACAAACAATACCCCATAATGACAACGTTAAAGAAGTTCGTTTTGAAATCTTTGCAATTTATTAAAAATAAAAAAATGAAAAAAAAAAACACGTACATAAGTATTCACAGCCTTTGCCATGACACTCAAAATTGAGCTCTGGTGCATCCTGTTCCCACTGATAATCCGTGATTGGAGCCCACCTGTGGGAAATTCAGTCGATTGGACATGATTAGAAAACATTTTTTGCAGCATTGAAGGTCCCAATGAGCACAGTGGCCTCCATCATCTGTAAATGGAAGAAGTTTGGAACCACCAGGAATCTTTCTAGAGCGGGCCGCTCAGCCAAAATGAGCGATCGAGGGAGGAGGGCCTTAGCCAGGGAGGTAACCTAGCACCGGATAGTTACTCTGAAAGAGCTCCAGCATTTTTCTGTGGAGAGAGGAGAACCTTCCAGAAGAACAACCATCTCTGCAGCACTCATACAGGCATGTATGGTGGAGTGGCCACACGGAAGCCACTGCTCAGTAAAAGGCAAATGGCAGCCTGCCTGGAGTTTGCCAAAACACACCTGAGTGACTCTCAGACCATGAGAAACAAAACTTTCTAGTCTAATGAAACAAACTCTTTGGCCTGAATGCCAAGCGTCATGTCTGGAGGAAACCAGGCATTGCTCACTACCTGGCCAATACCATCCCTACAGTGAAGCATGGTGGTGGTAGCATCATGCTGTGGTGATGTTTTTCAGCACAGGAACTGGGAGACTAGTCAGGATTGAAGGAAAGATGAATGCAGCAATGCGCAGAGACATCCTTGATGAAAACTTGTTCCAGAGCACTCTGGACCTTAGACTGGGGTGATATGGTTCATCTTTGAACAGGACAACGACTCTAAGCACACAGCCCACATAACAAAGGAGTGGCTATGGGCCAACTCTGTGAATGTCCTGGAGTGGCCCAGTCTTGAACCAAATTGAACATCTCTGTAGAGATCTGAAAATGACTGTGCACCGACACTCTCCATCCAACCTGATGGAGCTTGAGAGATACTGCAAAGAAGAATGGGAGAAATTGCCCAATTTGAAATTGCACCATACATCATACTCAAAACGACTTGAGGCTGTAATTGGTGCTAAAGGTGCTTCAGCAAAGTATTGCGTAAAGGCTGTGAATACTTGTGTACATGTGGGGTTTTTTTTTTCGTTTTTTATTTTTAATAAATTGCAAAGATATCAAAACGAGCTTCTTTCACGTTGTCATTATGGGGTATTGTTTGTAGAATGTTAAGGAAAAAAATGAACTTAATCCATTTTGGAATAAGGTTGTAACATAACAAAATGTGGCAAAAGTTAAGCGCTGTGAATATTTTCTGGATGCACTGTACAAACTATGTTTTTGTGTGTGTGTATACAGTGACTTGAAAAAGTATTCATACCCATTGAAATTTTCCACATTTGGTCATGTTACAACCTAAAACGTAAATGTATTTTATTGAGGTTTTATGTGATAGACCAACACAAAGTGGCACATAATTGTGAAGTGGAAGGAAAATTATAAATGTGTTTCACATTTTTTTACAGGTAAATATCTAAAAAGTGTGCTGTGCATTTGTATTCAGCCCTCCTGAGTCAATACTTTGTAGAACCACCTTTCACTGCAACTACAGCTGCAAGTCGTTTTGGGGATGTCTCTAGCATCTTTGACCATCTAGAGAGTGAAATTTTTTACCAATTCTTTTTTGCAAAATAGCTCAAGCTGTGACAGAATGGATGGAGAATGTCTGTGAACAACAATTTTCAAGTCTTGCCACAGATCCTCACTTGGGTTTAGGTCTGGACTTTGACTGGGCCATTCTAACACATGAATATGCTTTGATCTAAACCATTCCATTGTAGCTCTGGCTGTATGTTTAGGGTGTTTGTCATGATGGAAGGTGAATCTCCGCCCCAGTCTCAAGTCTTTTGCAGACTCCTAACAGGTTTTCTTCTAAGATTGCCCTGTATTTGGTTCCATCCATCTTCCCATCAACTCTGACCAGCTTCCCTGTCCCTGCTGAAGAAAAGCATCCCCACAACATGATGCTGCCACCACCATGTTTCATGGTGGGGATGGTGTGTTTAGGGTGATGTGCAGTGTTCGTTTTCCACCATACATAGCATTTTGCTTTTAGGCCAAAAAGTTTCATTTTGGTCTCATCTGACCAGAGCACCTTTTTCCACGTTTGCTGTATCCCCCACATGGCTTCTCGCAAACTACAAATAAGACTTCTTATGGCTTTCTTTCAGCAATGGCTTTCTTCTTGCCAATCTTACATAAAGGCCAGATTTGTGGAGTGCATGACTAATAGTTGTCCTGTGGACAGATTCTCCCACCTGAGCTGTGGATTTCTGCAGCTCCTCCAGAGTTTCCATGGATCTCTTGACTGCTTCTCTGAATAATGTTCTCCATGGCCAGCCTGTCAGTTTAGGTGGATGGCCACGTCTTGGTAGGTTTGCAGTTGTGCCATACTCTTTCCATTTTCGAATGATGGATTGAACAGTGCTCCGTGAGATGTTCAAAGCTTGTGATTTTTTTTTTTTTTTTTTTTATAACCTAACCGTGCTTTAAACTTCTCCACAACTTTATCCCTGACCTGTCTGGTGTGTTCCTTAGCCTTCATGATGCTGTTTGTTTACTAATGTTCTCTAACAAACCTCTGAGGGCTTCACAGAACAACTGTATTTGTACTGTGGTTAAATACACAGGTGGACTCTATTTACTAATTAGGTGACTTCTGAAGGCAATTGGTTCCACTAGATTTTAGTTAGGGGTATCAAAGTAATGTGGGCTGTATGCAAATGCATGCAACACTTTTCAGATACTTATTTGTATAAAATTTTGTGAAGCATTTATCATTTTCCTTCCACTTGCGTCTGTTTACAGCCGCCTAACTCCAAGTCTATTAAGGTCCAGAAAAAAAACCCAAGAAGTACAGTCCTCTTTCTTTTATTCCTAAATGTGACAGATCAGGCGGGGCCTTATGTAAAAAGGCATCTGACTGCTCATAAAGCCATTATGCATCCGCCTGTGTCTGCTCTGCAAACACAAAGGGGCTTGAATGTCAAAACACTAAAATCAGACCAGGGGTAGACTGACCATTTGGAAACTCGGGCACTGTCCGAGGGCCTGGGGTCAGTAGGGGGCCCCGTGAGATGCCCCTAGTACCTTTTTCATAGTTTTTTTTGAGTTTAGGCAAGGACACAGGGGCCCCATGATCCCCTATTGCCGGGGGCCCCATGATTTGTCAGTCCTCCCCTGCATCAGACCTTCTCAGCTCACAGATCCCCTGCTGAATGGCTCTGTGTGAAAGGGGCCTAAGACAAATAATATTTTTTTTAATGTAGCTCTTCTATTACATATGCTTTTCTGCACACAGAATATAGATATACAGGTATCAAAATAGTTGGCGACTAATTGGCAACCAGGAACTGTTACCCCTGGTTCATACTAGTGCGGCCCACGTTTGCGTGGGCACGGCAGCCCATTGATTGGCAGTCTGTGTTGTCTTTTTGATCGCTGTGGGATGAGCTGCATGGGGTGCCATTCAGAATGTGCAGGCTAGTGTGAACCTAGCCTTAGACATTAAAAAATGCAGCAGTCAGAACTATGTGATGTACACCAGAGTTTCCAAAATGCAGCAGCCAGGAATTTGTAATATACAGCACAATAATGCAGAGAAGAACTATAAAAAAGAAATATTAGACATCACACATATATAAATGGGCAACATACATATGAATTTGGCATATATAGTTTATTTTAGCAATAAATGTGCAAATTGAAACCTGTATTGATCTTTGTATGACTAATTTGTAACCGCTATTTACTTAAGTAACCGTTATCTGTTTTATAATTACCTAGGTGCAAAAAATAGAGCAGAAATATGAAACGCAAGCAGAGAAGATGATGAAAGCAGCCGCTAAGGATGTACGTCGCCTCGACGAGGACAAAGCTGTAAGGAACCACTGGAAGTCCAATCTTTCAGGTGAAGCTCTATTATAAGCTTTAGAAATGCAATTACATTTGCATAAAAATAATGTTCTGTATATTTATTCTCAATGCTATGTATTAGAACACTTTCAAGCTGACCTCATTCACTGAAGATACTGAAATACACGACTTCATTGCTCTGGGAAGGTCTTCATTGAGAACAATGGCACTGCTTATACATTTTGTAGCCCTCCAGATGAATTTAAAGAGGAACTTTAGCCAGCCAAAAAATAAATATACCATTAAACAAATAATGTAGCTACTGACCTTTTAAAAATCAGATACTCACCAGCCCATGGAGCTGTACTTCCTGCAGCCAATTCTTTGCAGTACTTCGGTTCTATGGTTGTTAGAGCTGACTCTGACTTACTTACTTCTTTAACCACTTGCCGACCGCAGATAGCCGAATGACGGCTACACTGCGGCCGGCCAGTTCTGGGAGGACATCATATCACGTCCTCCCAGAACGCATCCTTCCACGCGCCCCCCGGACACAGTTGATCACGTGATGTGGTAAAAGGCCAATCACAGCGGCCTTTTACCACGTGTTCAGCCGTATCCAATGACACAGCAGATCACCGGTAAATGCAGTTGCCGGTCATCGGCTGCACTTTCGTCACGCTGTCACAGCGTGAGGAACGTACTGCCGATAACCGGCAATTGTCAGAGGACGGATCGGCACCAATCATCAGGGCACTGATGATCAGTGCTGCCCAACAGTACCACCCATCAGTGTTGCCCAGCAGTACCATCCAGCAGTGCCACATATCAGTGCCCCACATATCAGTGCTCATCAGTGCCCTTATCAGTGCCCATCATTGTTGCATATCAGTGCCACCTCATCAGTGCCACCTATCAGTACCACCTCATCAGTGCCCATCAGTGTAGCCTCATCAACGCACATCAGCGAAGGAGAAAAATTACCTGTTTGCAAAATTTTATAATAGAAACAAAGAAAAACTTTTTTTTTTTTTCAAAATTTTTGCTCTTTTTTTGTTTATAGCGCAAAAAATAAAACACCCAGCAGCGAGTACATACCACCAAAAGAAAGCTCTACTTGTGTGACAGTCCACTGTCAGCTAAAAACTGGTCACAGGATGCAGAAGGTACTGCACTCCTTTGATCCACTGGAGAAGTACAGCAAAAAGAACCTTGTCTGTACTTCTCTTCTCCTTTAATTGCCTGCAATTACAGTATGTCTCCCCTGCTGCTTTTTGTATAAATTTTATGAAGAACAAATTACAAATAATTTAGCATTTGTGCAATTACAGCATTTTATTTACCTTGATATTAAAGCCAAAAGTTAACATCTGTTATATTGCAGCTTACCAATTCTTAGGTGTGATGGCTTAATTTGTTTTCTTTTTTAGGCTTTCTTTTCTTTATTTTCACCTGGTAATCCTGCCAGTAAGTCTGTTGCTTTTCAACAGAACACTCTGTCCTCCAGATATAGCAGTTAGAGAACTGAGGCAAACCATGTAACACAGACAGGGGGTGCTTACAATGAGCAGCTTTTATTTATGTATGTTAAACCTTTATCCCAAAAGGTGCAACACTGTTGTTGTGACTGCCTATAAAGTGTTAGCTAGAGTTTCGGTTCTATTTGTTTATTGTATCTAATTTACTAGTCCGTCTAACACCTTACCTCCAAACCTATAAGGCTGCTGTTCAAAGGTGTTTCTGTTGCTCTTCATCGAGAGTGGTGTTGGCTCTCTAATACAGAAGGTGTGTTACTGCCCAAATCACCAGGTGAAAAAAGAATGGAAAAAAGAGCCTAGAAAGAGAAACTCATTTATTCACCACATCTAATACTAAGCTGCAATATATTACGTTTTGGGTTTAATACTGCTTTAACCAGTTAAAGGGAAACTGTTGTCTGTTGATCGTTTTTTTAAAATATTTAATACGTTTTTATTTTATAAAATTTTTCAAAATCTGAAATACTACCGTTGTACTTACCTCAGGCCATGATAGACTCTCAATCAATCATTCCTTTTTACGTGGAATATGAGGTCCAATGAATATTCAGGCATATATCTGCCTTCTGACTTTATGAGGCTGTATGCAGAAAATTATGGTCCCCTGCTCCAGACGATAAAATGGATTTTGGAAGGATGGGATAAAGCCACCTTCACATTGCTAGATAGAATTAACAACATAAAAATTAATGTTTTACCAAGGGTCTTGTTTCTTTTGCAGATGGTATCCATTGTGCTCCAGAAGGCTTTCTTCTGTAGCGTTCGGCGGATCTTCACAAATTTTGTGTGGAGAAACGCCAAGCCTAGGTTGTTGTATCAAAACCTGAGGAAGAAGGCGGATTAGGCCTGTATAGGGTTTTCATGGCTTTAAACCTGAAATGAACAACCTTGCAGACGAGAGCTCCAAATTATATATTTATGGATAATACAGCTGTATGAGAGCACCCATGCCCTGCCCATCAGATGCTCTGATTAGATGGATTGCAGTCCACATTTTTATAGGGTTCTTTATGGCTGGCTGCCCACCTTTATGCTTATCAGTTACACTTCAGAATATCTGTCTAACAATTTATTGAGACACTTTATCAAACATTCATCATTACTCAGCAGTCTTTTACAACTTACAAACACATTTAACCACAAGCCTACAGGACACTTATACCCCCTTCCTGCCCAGGCCAATTTCCAGCTTTCAGCGCTGTCGCGCTTTGAATGACAATTGGGGCGGTCATGCAACACTGTACCCATATGAAATTTTTATCATTTTTTTGTGACAGATAGAGCTTTATTTTGGTGGTATTTAATCACCTCTGGGTTTTTATTTTTTTTTTAAACAAACCAAAAGCCACTGAAAATTTTGAAAAAAATAGTTTTTTCTTAGTTTTTTTGTTATAAAATTTTGTAAATAAGTGATTTTTCTCCTTCACTGATGTGCGCTAATGAGGCTGCGGTGATGGGCACTGATAGGCTGCACTGATGGACACTGACAGGTGGCACTGATGGGCACTGATGAGGAGGCACTGGTAGGTGGCACTGAAAGGCAGCACTGATAGGTGGCACTGACTGGCAGGACTGATAGGTGGCACTGATTGGCATTGATGGGTGACACTGAAAGGCAGCTCAGATGGGCACTGATATGTGGCATTGTTGTGCACTGGTAGGCACTGAAATGTGGCATTGATGTGGCACTGATGGGCACTGGCAGGTGGCATGGATGAGCACTGACAGCTGGCACTGATGGACACTGACAGGTGGCAATGCTGGGGCTATACTGATCATCAGGGCACACTGATCATCAGTGCCCTGATCATCAGGGCACACTGATGATCAGTGCCCTGATGATCAGTGTACATGTCCCCTCCGCGGAAAGCCGATTACCGGCTCTCCTCTCGAGCTGTCAGCGTGACAGTTCGAGAGGAGAGAAATGCCGATAACTGGCATGTCCCTGTTTACATGTGATCAGCTGTGATTGGACATAGCTGATCACATGACCGAGCCGACATCTTCGGCTCTTTCCGTGATCGGTGATCCACTGTGTCCGAGGGACACAGCGCACTGCCGATCTTCACGCTGCGCGCTCCCTGAGCCGCGCATGCACGGTGAAAATGGGAGGACATCATATGACGTCCTCCCAGAACGAGAGAACCACCTTGCGGTTAAAAAGCCTTTTTAGCAGCAGAAGCCATTTTAGCTGCTAATGGAATATGATTTTTAATATATATATATATATATATATATATATATATAGATAGATAGATAGTTAATTGTTGCTTATATACAAAGATTGTCAATAGAATCCAAGCAATTGCTCCCCACACAACCATTAAAATTGCAAAGATATCTAAGGGAGTATGACATTTTTCAATGTATTATTCATTTAAAATTTTCACCATTAGACTTTACTTAATTTCTACTTACCTTCCCTGTTGACAAAACAAAGTTACAGACTTCTACTTATTTACAAATTTTTTAGCAAATTGCAAAGTGTAATTTTCGCTTAGATTAGTACATTCCTGGCAAGCTGCTAAGGTCTCCGTATCAGCACAGCCAGTTTCCTGGTTTTCACCCAGCAATAAACTGGGTCCACCTAATGAAAGACACTTGGCTTTGTGGTTAGCTTATTTTAACACTTAAGAAAACAAAGTTAAGAAAATATAGATCACAGATAGGTATATAGAAAAGGACAGAAACGGCAAAGGATCCTAAGCAGGTTTAGCTTAGGTCCGCCGCAATACACTGACTATGCTTTATTAACGTCCTTGCTCCAGTGGCGCTTGGCACTTTCTTAATTCTTCAGAGTCTGAAGGATTAATTATTTTGTGGCCTGTTGGCCACTGAGGTGGTTTGCTACAACCAGGAGACACTAACATGCGTAACTTTGCGCTCCCTAAGGAGTACCTAGACACCTTCTGTTTCCTTTGAAATTTTACCTGAAGTACTTCAAGTCAGAAGGTGTCAAGTCAGTGTAAAAATGAAAGGAAAGTGGAATTTTGACAGTAAAGAAGGCTGAGACAGTAAAGGGGTAAGGGCTGACCGTATGAGGGCATTTTTTTTTTTTAGTACTCTGCGTTCTATGTATTTGTCTCTCTCAAGTGCTCAGCAAGGGGGTTGCTCACCTCAACCACGTCTTACCCAGCAATCTCTCACACGCTCATAGCCCCTCCGTTGCAGTCACCAGCTGAAATAGCAATGACCGTTTTTCTGCCCATAAGGGCGTATAATCCCTGCTAATTCAGAGACTATACCTGGAACCCATTCACACACGGCAAGGTTAGTTAGAGAATAGCAGCAAGACAAGAAGACAAGACAAATAACAGATGATCAATTACAATACAATATTTACATATACACTCTTGTCTGGGTTCTTTTAATCATGCGTTTAGCAACTGGATCACCTGCCTCCTCTCCATTCCCCAAGCACAGACAAGTTTTTTATATGAGCAATAAGCTAACTTGTTAGGCCTTGCTTGTCTGTATTTGAGATGTGTATAGGCTGCAGTGATCCTGGCTTCAGCGATGATCCGGGTCAAAGGCACCAATTAATGTATAGGGTTTTCACGGCTTTAAACCTTAAATAAATAACCTTGCAGACGAGAGCTCCAAATTATATATTTATGGATAATACAGCTGTATGAGAGCACCCATGCCCTGCCCTGCTCTGATTAGATTGATTGCAGTCCACATTTTTATAGGGTTCTTTATGGCTGGCTGCCCACCTTTATGATTATCAGTTACACTTCAGAAAATCTGTCTAACCACTTATTGAGACACTTTATAAACATTCATCATTACTCAGCAGTCTTTTACAACTTACAAACATCATTTAAAAAGCCTTTTTAGCAGCAGAAGCTATTTTAGCTGCTAATGGAATATGATTTTATATATATATCAGCTTCTCAAAATATGCTAGCAGTAATGTCTAATACAATAGACCTTAATCTAAGACACAAATATATATATGTATTAACTGATTTAAACACTCTTATTATTGTTATTTCATTATAATATATTGTTATGATGTAGGATATAGTAAGGATCACCTCTATCCCTATACAGGCCTCCCAAACTTTTAGAACTATTACAGAGCAGTAGCGCTAACTTACTTAGCTGGAAGCATAAAGTAAATCAAAGAGTCTGGGTAATACTTGAGAAAACAATGGCAGGCTATAACCTGGCTCCTGCCCTGTGGGTCTTCCAGCTCTATTGTGGTCTCTCGGACACCACCTCTGCTATCAAATAGGGAGCTCTGTCTCAGATGTTCTCTTCCTGACCCTCGCTACCACTTTGCCCTCCCAGTCCCAAGCTCAATTTCCTGTCCTGGAAGCCCCCTTTTTTCGAGCCTCCACAGTTGGGATGCTGCTTGGAATTAAATCAGTGAACTTTAGTATATCAATCTGCTCTGCAGGCAAGCTTCCAAATCCAAAATTGTAGTGGGTGCTGCTGTTGTGTGCCAGGTCAGCTGCAGATCAGTGACAGTCCCCAAACTGTATCTAATGGACAAAGAGAAGGCATCAGGAGTCTACAGGCCTATGCTGTCTACATAAAGAGAACCTGTCATTACACAAGTGTATTGTCACACAGGATTCATGTCGGCCTATCTGTAGCAGTAATAAAGTAAATCTGTGCTTTGCAGGAAAATGCAACAGATTCAATTTATTGCTAGTCCTGAGCAACCAATTGCCAACCAACATAGCTGTTACATAGGAGACAGTTGTAGGTTTTCCAGGTAAATGGACTGGCAGGATAGTAAAGGCAATCAGTTATAGGCAATGGGGAGGGTCAGCATTTAAACAAACCTGTTGCTTTGCTTACCTTGACATTTTTGCGTAGTGAAGGTTTTTAGAGCTTCCCCTATGTGTATGGTTTAATCCCAGAGCAGTGCTGCACTGAGCTTTAATAAAATGTAGACATGCTGCATTTTATCGCAGTGCACAGAACAGGATTGCATGTAGAGCAGCACAGCACCATTGTACAGTGACATGAATGAAGTGTCACTTTGTACATGTCAAATAAAGTTGAGTTGAGACAGCAGCAGCTGTCGGGGTGGTGTGAACAGACCTTAAACTTATAACCTTCAAGGACTAAGGCTACGTTCACACTAGCGTTGTGTGCAGCCGGCAGAAAGGCGTTTGGGAAGCGTTTTTTACCGCTTCCTAAACGCCTCAGACAATTCTGCACATTGCAGCACATGGTGCTGTTCTAACGGGAGCGTTAGTGTCGCGGGGCGGCAAAACGGACACCTCTGGTCGAGTCAGGAGGCGTTGATGCCTCCTATTCTAGTCTATGGTGCCGCTCCGCAAACGCCCAGCCGGCATTTGTGGTGCGGTTGCGGGGCGTTTGCGGAGCAGTAACACTATTCAAACTTCATTATAGGCGTTTGTAGGGCATTTTTAACGCTCGGCAACCGCCGCTGAACCACGCATGCAGCGTTTGCGGAGCGTTTTCGGAGCATTTGCCGAGTGTTAAAAAAACACTCCGCAAATGCCGGACCAGCGCTTGCCAAACGCTATAGTGGCGTTTGGCAAGAGTTGGTAAAACAGTCAAGTGTAAACGAGCCCTTAGTCTGACAACTTTGATATTGGCAATTGTTTAAAAATGAAAGATATTACAGTTTGACTTTTTTTTTTTTATAAAAAGTCGAGATGATAGTACTATATTGCTAGAAGATTCTTTTGTGTTTGCGATTGAAGACTAAATAATCATCTCTTATATTTCTTTTTTTTGTTTTTTTTTTAGGGAGAAAATGGCATTTTTCACCCGGCCAAGAATTAACATTCCCACTCTTGCTGCAGATGATGTTTAATATTGGCCATAGAACCATAGAAGTATTTTGTGTTTCTGTTCTGAATGCCACTACAGCAGAAAACACACTTGGATGTGTCTGAAGTAATATGTTGTGGTGTTATGAAGGTACAGAGTTTGTTGATATGTGTTAAATCTTCAAAGTTTTAAGAGAAAACAATTTCCTACAGTAATGAAAATAACAAGAATTGACAGTTTATTTTCTGTATTTCCACATTTGTACAGTTTGTATAATAAGAATCATATTTTGATGGAAGATAAAGAGCACGCTCCACTGTGCTGTTAAAGAAATATGACTTTTGTATAGAAGAATGCTTGAGAGCCTATATTGCAATAAAATTAATTTAATTAAACCTCAAGTTTTTACCCTTCAACCTTAATAAATAAAATGTTGCCATAGAATATAGATGGTACGTCCTACTGGAATCACTTTTCTCATGAAGCATTTTATACTACATTTTTAGAAAGACTGTAGGACAAGAAATACAGGTTTATTACATGTTAAGCTTCAGTCATTATTTTGAGATGCTGTAGTACACTGGGGTTCTGGTGAAAAGAAAAAAAAATGTTAATCAAGTGACTTATCATCTACTGACAAAAACACATTCAGTTGAAGGTCAAAATCATCTTTTTTTTTTTTTTTTTTTTTTTTTAATAAAAATCATTCTTGATGATTTTGTAATCTGTCTCATTGCATTCATGAAGTTTTTGTGTTTAAATTATCCATGGATATTAGATTTCCACCATTCAGTAATTTGACTATCAAGTGGAAAGTGTATAGATTATAAATATCAGGAACAGGTAACTCAGATATACCAGTGCATGAATAAAAGATGATTGGTTTGATTTTATTCTAAGAAATAATGGTGGAAACCTCCTGCACTTGAACATAAAAAAACCTTTGTCTAGTCTAAATAACGGAAGCTGCTAGCATCCAATCATATATCCAAATGATACAAGATCTAAAAATACAGAAGTGATGCAGCGCTACTCTGATGATAATATTGATATTAATACTATATAAATGAACATATAAATTAAAAAGTGTATAAAGGTGACACAATGTGCAACAAAACCATAAACAGTGACCTGATCCTCCAGGGATCTATAATAAGTGAATTGATCCTACATGGATCCAAAGTGTACACAGTGAATGTTGAACCACTCAAAAGATGGTAATTTCAGATTTACCAATACTGATCGTATGGTATAATTGTGTATAAAACCAAAGTTAGAATCCAAAGTGATGGTGTAAACAAATCAAGCAAACAAATATATAAACTTAGCCCAAATCAGACTAAATAGTGAAACGTCCAAAATTAAACTCAAGAAAACGCATGAAAAGTGCAAAACGTGCATAAACATGTAAACATAAAATATCCAAATCCCAAAAAAGTGTTTTCATATACAATCAATATATATGTCGAAGCAAGAAGGTGAGTGGCCAATCCGGCTTTTGACGGATACCCTTATGTGATCACTCACGTGCACCATCCACATGCATGAGTACAGTGGTGTAGTGCCACAACTTGGACTTTTTTTCACTAGTTTTCCACTTTATTTGGAGTCATGCGTTTTGCATAATATAGGTTCACATTTGTTCATAGCATTGATTGTGTTTGATTTACGTATATATTAATTGTATATGAAAACACTTTTTTGGGATTTGGATATTTTATTTTTACATGTTTATGCACATTTTGCCACTGATGTATTTATACATGTTGATTATATTCCTCTTAATATCCTCTTCTCAAGAGAGAATAAATTCAGTACCTCTAATCTTTCCTCATAGCTGATCTCCTCCATGCCTGTTATCAGTATGATTGCCCTTCTCTGTACTTTCTCCAGTTCCCCAATGTTCTTTTTGTGAATTGGTGCCCAAAACTGAACTGCATATTCCAGATGAAGGTCTTACTAATGATTTGTACAGGGGTAATATGATAACTCTCTCTCTGGAGTCTATACCTCTTTTAATACAAGAGAGGATTTTGCTCGCTTTAGAAACCGCAGCTTGGCATTGCATAACATTATTAAGCTTGTGATCTACCAGAACTCCCAGATCCTTCTCCACCATTGATTCTCCCAGTTGTACCCCCCTAGTATGTATAATGCATGCAATTAAATTTAAAAAAAGTTATGAAATAAAATTACAATAAAATAAATAAAAATTATTTAAAAAAATGTACAAGCAATGTAAACAGCAGTTGTATCACAGGTGAGGTATCGCTGTAAACATTGGAGTAAGAGCAATAATTGTGGGGTCATAATTAACAGTTGACTCCAAATTTAAAGACTTTTAAAGCAGTATCCATGGACAGTTTTGGGCACCATAATTTTTCTTTGCACACATTTGTTTACATGTTGGGCATCTATTTCTTTAATGAAACCTCATCTTTTATATATTACCAAGAAATATGGGTATTTTGTGTTTTGGGTGAACTACAATTTGTTAGTGTATTTTTTCTTGAAAATATGCATTTGATAAACACACATACAGTATAAACTCCAATGTGCATATGCATAGGAAAAAAACTATTGTGGAACACACTTAGGTATTGCATCACAAATTGGGATGAGAGGAACAGATCCAGATCCAGAACCATCATTTATGGAATTCTAAACTGATGGGCTGTAAAGGCTGTTAAACGGTGAAAAACTATGGTAGCCCAAAATTCTCCATAGCCACCACTTTCTCAGGAGTTTTGAGGTTTCACATATTCGGTATCTAACTTGACCCAGTCTCATCTTTTATATTTCACCAGAAAGATGGAGATTATATTGTGTTTGTGTGCATTAAATTGAGTGTATTTGTTACTGAAGAAATATATTTGATAAACAGTTGCCATTTTGTAATTAAAAAAAATGCAATTACTTTTTGTTCTATAGGCCCCACTGTTTTTGGGTAATATTTTTTTTTTTTTTTCGTCTACAAACGATTTTTATTGAGTTCAAGACAAAGTAAGAAATACAATGATGCCAATCAATATAGTTACAACCTGGCATAGCCAAAAGACAGTCATTGAAGTAGAGTATATAATGGAATTTTATTTTATTACATTTAACAGGGAGCAAAACACAATAAAGAGTCAAGAAACCCTTTAAAGGTTATATTGCAAAGAGGTAAAGAAAAAATAATGCCATATCTTGGTGCATGCTAATGCTTGAATATGGACTGATTGTTAACACATATCAAAAGATAAACCATAGGAGAGCCTGAGGCTGACTGCAAGTAACATAAGGATAGTCAATATGAGGACCAGTACTCCCACTTCCTTTCAAGTAACAGTATGGTGTCATAGATAGTGTGGTAGATTCTTTACATCATTTTAATTGATTCCATAAGTGAAACAACATGAGACTAGCACACTACTGAGTTGGATCTCCAATCAAGAACAATATCTGAACGATGACACTAAATAAAGCCTTTCACAATGGGGGGGGGGGGTGTACATTTTAATGGGGGTAAACAGCAGGCACATTGGTAACATTAATGTGAGTTGGGAGCCTGCAATTTGTGCAGTTCTCTTAGCTACTTGTTGCCACAACGTGTATGATTTAGTGCAGCTCCAGAATATGTGAATAAGACGACAGCAGTTTGGGCATCCTCCTACGCAGGAACTGAGAGAGAGACCATATAGGGTTTGACTGGCGTCCATCTGGTGTGCAGTTTAATAGCTGTTTTTTGAACTGCAATGGAGTGTGTGCATTTATGGAGATTAGAAAGCATATCCAACCAGTTAGAGGCAGATAAATCTAATTCTGCTTCAGCTTCCCATTGGCTTGACAGGGAGGATTTACCTGGGAGCTGAAGGCCCCCGAGGAACCTGCAAAGTGTGGAAATCGTACCTTTATGCCCGGGTGAAGAAAGACATTGTGATAATTGTGCGCACAGATATGGACAATGACGACCATAATTTGGATCATACTCTGCAAATGTCATTCTCACTCCAAATCAGTCTTCCCCCTCCCTTTTTTTTTTGAATGGCATGTGGTGTGTGTGTGTATGCTGGGATCACAAAGGCATCGGGCACAGCTGGATACACTTCATAGTTGTAAACCCAATTAGCTGGTTCCATGATGTCTGTCAGACCCTTGCCTTGGCCTGGTCGTAAAGCTATAAACTAGTCAGTCACTGGACATGAAAGCATTCCAGAGTAGCAGTAAAACATACATCCCACTTGAAACCACTTTTTCATACAATTTCATAAATACCCGGCAGGAACAAGGTACAATAAAACAAAGCATATATTCAGATAGGTCATTTTAATATGAGTCACCTAAAACCTTACATCCCTAGATAACGTCTACCAGAGAGCAGAAAGCGATATCTCTTTAACCATCACAGCCAGATATGTCCTATTTGATGTCTGGACGTTTCGAATATGTTTTTGCATATTAACCTGCCAGTGGCTAGGCTACTGCATGCACCTATGGAAGGTTATTGACCATGGTATAAACTTGTAAGGGATTTGGGTCACAGCCTGGGTCTTCGCCTAAACCCCCCTCCCCAAATGAGGCGATTGGCCCTTGGCTTCAGTAGACACCCCCTGCTGGGACACTAGAAAAGCTGTCATGCATGGAGAGAGGGAAGATGAAGAGATTCTCGCTTTTAACATCAGGAACCAACTTTGGGAGAAAAGGCACCCTTTTGTTCAGGACACTTGGACTCTGCTTAAACCAGGACTTCTGCAAGTATTCTACCTTCTTAAACTTCTTCCTTTATCTCTCTGTTGTGTTATTGCTCTATTTATATGTATATATATTGGTTACATCTTTTCTGTAAATATTTTTATTGCACCATTTTGACCTTTTTAGTAATAAATCCTATTTTCTGAAAAGTCTGGAATTGTTTCTAAAGCTCTTTAATGCAAACTAAGAATCCCTGTCTCTGAAGAGTGCTACTGTATGTTTTAAAACCTCTGGATACATCTGCCTGCGGTGACAGGGTGTATACAGACGCTTATTCAAACATCATAGTGGTTGCTGCTAAGATTTG